CGGATGAACCGTAAACGCGTAAAAAATACAAAACATATACTAACTTATAATGTTATAATTAATAATTTCATGGAGAAATAAAAAGCACTAAAAATAATAATTAACTTATACCGATATTTAATATGTTTACTAATATTGGTTTAAGATTGCTTTGAGACATTAAAAGTCAAATTAAATGAGAAGCCTTGAAATGTCCCGAACTTGTATTCGACTCCTGCATTAATAATGTTAATTAAATTTCCGACGCTCCATCAGTGAGAAAGAGAAATCACGTATGAATTGAGAGGAATAAAATATAACATAATTAATGTAATAATAATTAGATAAATTAAGCAATTTGTTACATGACTATTTGTTATAATATAGTTGTATTAATTCACTACTATATAACTGTTTGCGTTTAATAGATATGCTTGCTCCATTTTGTTTAAACCTTGACCAGGATCACCGCAACTCCTTTTTCTAATCAAATAACTAACAAATACAAACATATATTACACATATTAAATATTATATACGATTAATACCTTACAAGCCGGTTCTATTCAATGTTCTAAATGTGGGACACGTAGAATTTTATTCATAAACGGTACATTATTTTTATGACAACTGCCAACTCTGGCAATCACTAGAAACGGCTTACAACGTGCTAATACGATTATCGACCGTGAGGTCGCTTGCTGTGGGTGTTAAAAGGATTTTAAGGGATACCAGATAACCCAAGCGTCTTGTTCCACCGAATGTACATGCGAGCGAACATGCTTACGCGGAAAAACCTATTTCAGACACCCTGCATTAAAGAAAGCGCCGCACAAGTTGTTAATAACTAAATACAAAATAAACGAAACAAACGAAATAAACGAAACAAACGAAGCAACGTAAATGAGTTCATTATTCGGTCATAAATTTGATTTAATGCGCTCAATCGGATTGTCGAATCAGCTCTTCACAACTCCGTAATAATTGTCAACAAAGTGGACAATTGCAGAATACGATACTGTAATCTAGAGTAAATTAATAATAGAATCTGTTATAAATATCCTTAGGGAATGTAATTCTCTTGTTTAAGTACGTGTCACTTCTCAAAAATATCGACTTACAGAGAGAGCTGATTCTTTTTCGTTCGATAATCAGATAATATTGCGTACAGACATAACAATTTAATTGTTAATGATTATTTCGAATTTTGTTACGTAAATGTAAAGCTGTTAAATTTAATGAAAAATCAGAGTATTAATCAACAATCCATAGGATTATTGCTGATTAATTATTCTCATATTATGACTATGAATATTACCGTGAATAATCTTATCAACTTGGCAGAATACATAATTCTGCAATTATCTTTGCTATTTTAACGCAAATAAGTAAGGAAAAAGTTGCGAAAGGCCGCGTAAAACCGATGTGTCGATGATTTCGAGGAACCGCCGATGATGAATGCTGATTCTCAAATGATTCCGCGAGAGATGTGACGCATGGGCGGAAGCATTGATCGATCGTGCAACAACGATTTTAATGAAGAGTTGCACATCAAAGGTGATCGCAGCGCTAATAATTTATCTCAGTATCAATGGACAGATGCAAGAGGAATCATTCTGTGAGATTAAAATTTACCGGAAACCGGGTTATCCCTTTTTGACGCAAATGAGCATCGAAAAATATCAATAGCCTTTGCAAATTGAACATGGATGTTATGAATTTTTCGTTACTCCGTTATTCCATCATTAATGAGAAAAATATGTCGGTATGATTCATTCTCTCAGTATACTCCTATTTAGAAAAAAAGAATAATAACTTTTTCTGTGATGATGAGAAAAAGAGGAAAAAGATGAAAATTCCATTGATAGGAATTCCACGAAATAATCAATTAATTGAATAATATTTTCTGTGTTTTAATACATTAACGAATGAAATTTTTCAGAGTATTATGGTTGTTTGATTCCTTTCTGCAAACTGTAATCTAATTGAAAAAGAAATCTCAGCCACGAAAACATGTATATTTATTAGGTATATGTAAAAATTTCAAAATGTTTAATATTTTTTTCTATTAATTTTATGTGGATAATATAAATATTAATTTTATTTTATAAGTGAAATAATTGTAAGGAAAACAATAAATATATTAGTTTTGCTTTATATGGATTACATATATATATATATATATATATATGAATCGACAGCTATTAAAAATATAGCTGAATTAATTAACTAACATAACTCACTGAGATTTGTTACCCGGTGATATTATAATGGATGCATAAATAGTTGTTTTCCCGAATGAAAGGTACACAAATTAATTGCATTAATATTAATTTATATAATTAATGGAAACTATTTTTCAGTAAAATTCTTCGATATTGATCAAGATTTATAATTAAATTTTGTTTGTCCAATTATTCATAACAAAATTAAAAACGTTAAATATAACATTTATATATATATTAAACATATTTTTGTTCATTTATCTCTTTTTCCCTCTATTTATCAAAACACGTAATTCTCGATCAATGCTTCGCTTGAACATCATCTTTTATTACATAATAAATAACAGCCCGTATTCACACACTCTTTTCATTACGTATACGTCACGCCAAATTTAGCCCGAGTTCTTTTCTTATCTAATAAAAAAAAAACTCCATATAATTATGAAATAAACATAAGATAGCTAAACATTTTTGCGCTGTGAATACAGCCTTTTAATAAATAATAGTAAAAAAAAAAAGGCAGGAGTCTGAAGAGTATTTTTTAACGCATCTATCTAGGCTCTCTAGATAGGACGACTGCTCCACGGAAGGATGTAATAAATTGTAATCAGATTGGATTTCGCATCAAGTTCGATATATCGCTTTCAGATAAGAGACTTTCAATCTTATCATCAATAATAGATATACGGAATATCGGGAAACATAGAAAAAATCTTCATGCTTTTCGTAAACACATGATTACATTTTGCAATCACATTAATTAATGTAGTTCCATATGGAACAATCGCGATCTATTGCGATCAACGAGATTAATAGGCGAAAAAGTCCGAGAATAAATAATGGCGTAACTAGGTGGACGTGTATTCTCTCTCTCTTCGCAATCTATTTATATACATCATCTCACTCTATAAACATGACTGGTACAAATGTATTACGAGTAAAAATATCCTGATCCTAACAGGCGTGTATTGTGTTATGTAATGTTGAAAAATTTTATCCATTTTCAATATCTATAACTTCAATATTTCACATTCCACTAGTTACGCCTCTTAGAATGTGGTATCTATATGGAGATCGATCACCGCGATTGATCAACGAATTTGTTCTTCTTTTACTTTTCGTTTATGTAACTACGATATCGATGAATTTATTTTTGCTTTTCACATTCTTTCTTGCAACGCGAACGTTACGTGACCGACCTCCAGAACCGATGAATAAATGCATTGTTCTTCACAATCGCGGCAACGCGAGCGAGGGACACGAAGCGGATTCTCGTGAGGACCGTGATAGCGAAGCTATCGCTGATAGTGCGACTCTTCCTAGTCGATCCATCGCGAGACACATTCTTCAATGGTCCAGCAATTGGCCAGTTCGCTCGACCATGTGAAGCGGTTCGCCTCCGACCTCGTTTCCCTCGCTCGATATTTTATCCCCTTGCTCTCCCTTCTTAATATATGCTCCATTTTGTTGATTTCAAGGAGGAAGCTAAAGTGAGATAGGAACGGAAAGGAATGACGCTCATTAGATCCCGTCACTTCGAATAACGAAGAACAAATCGATCGATAGTTCAATATTTATGAACGATACATAAATACAACCAGACTTATCTGTAATGTAATTAAATGTAACATATCGTTAAAAGTAATTGTATTTAAACAATTATTCGTTTATTTCGATATGGACGATTTCATGATTAATCAATTAATTGATTGATTAGTTTTTGTAGCTTGAGTAAAAATACGTAATATATTTTTAGTAAATTGAATGTTCGACAGCACGTTTAAATTAATGATGTAGATTTTAGAACACGGATGTCACGTTAAAACTCCGTCAAACTTTCAACGAATCTATCTGAGACACGACGAAACGTGAAATAACTACCGAAATGACAAGTCTGATTTACTATCGGTTGTATCGATTTCAATGTCTCTTTTGATTGAGATTTGTGCATTGTTCTTCATTTTTCGAAAATATTTATGACGGGTTCTGTTGGAGCCATGCGAGCAGAGTTGAATATTGCTTCATCAGAAAATATAACATATACTCGCAGCGATCAATATACAATACGATCTTGAATATATTACGCAAGATAAGGTTGGATAAAATATCTTTAGAGATATATTACTCCTTTAGTATGGCGAAAACTGAAAAATGCTTGCCAACCTCTTTTTCAGATGTCCTTTTTCCATATAACGTGTAGTTCTGTACTTGATTAAAAATAATTGAGGTCAATTGATATGGTTCGTTGCTTCAGCAAGAATTCTAGTAATTATCTTTTCTAGTAATTTTCACGGTTGCAAGAGTGTAAAGGTTAGTTTCGTTTTCCGCTTCGTTGACTATTCACTTTGTACAAAATTGTATTTGCCCGTGAGAAAATTAATTAATCTTCCAATAATTTACTTGCAATAATTTCTTTATTATGGATTTTACATCGACTGTGAACGAATAATTCTTTCTTTTACGTTTTAAACGTTTTAATTTTTCTGATCGTCAAAGTAGAATAAGCTCAGTGACCAGTCATTGAAATATGTAAATACAAATGAGAGAAACCAATTCTTATGAAAAACTAAATGACACGGTTTTTCTTCATTCAAGATCGTTTAATTTTCGGCATTGTGCCTTTTTTTAATAACTTCGCCATTTGTCAATCGTACGCGTACATTTATCATTCGCGAAACTTCAGCTCTGCTCGCGCCAGGGAAACGGAGATCAAAGGTATACGCGTAGAAGGCAAATCGAATGAAGTCAATCACAAAAAAAAAAGATATGTGCAGACACGGCGCGTGCGGTACTTACTCGTTGTTCAGCACGCGGAACGATTTGGGCGACATGCAGTTGACGCTCCACTCGGTGTTCCCGTGCTCATTGCATATCGTGATGGAGAACCTGCCATAGTTCGCCCGTATCAGGTGAATCAGCTTGCCCTCGCCGCACTCGATCTCCAGCGTCTTGCCCTCGCAAGCGTATGCGGTGTCGTACCTCTCTGCAACAGAAAAACGCGATACGTTTTTTAGCCATCTTTCGGCCAAAGAGTTATTGTCGTCGCGATTCGCGGTAATTCGCACGCAACCGCACGCACGCTGCCGTGCGGCTGCAACTCGCGGTGAATCGAATGTGGAGATTATACGCGCGCGGTCAAACTCTCACAACCTCCGACGCCTGTTGCAGCCGCATCCACATCGGCTTCCGCTTCCGGAAAACCTCCATGTATAATGCGAAAATCCTAGAGGATAGGGGTGTGTTATTTACTGATAGGATTATACGTTGTTGCGATATTTAATCTATTCGCATGACTGCATTTTTGCGGTTTATATACATATTTTGGTTTCTGTGCGGAGGTTTCTATTTTGCATTCGGATTATTTTTCTGTTGAAAAGAGTTTAAGATAAAATAATATATTTTATCCCTTTCTCCTTTTTATGAAGAATTTTACATCTTGGGTTTCCGTTTGAAATATACTGTGGAAATATTTAACCGCGAATATTTAAAATTTTTAATATTTTTAATGAATTTTTCCTCAAGCATTAATATCGGTATCATTCTTGAGAAACTCAATTTTAGATATTTTCATTCAATTTAGTAGGAAAAATATTATGTCGTCTTCTCTCTTAAAAAGCACACGATGCATCTTTTGAAGTACATTTACTTTTTAAAACTTTGTCTTTTGTGAGATTTAAGAGTCTAAACTAAATTTTAGCTTACTTATCGTAGTACTATAAAAATTATATTATATAATTTAAAGTATTATAACAGTAAAATAAATTCCACACTCGTGGATAAAAACAAATCTATTCCTTTTTTTTAAAGCGGCTAAATTCAGTTTATGAACACATTCGACGAGGGTTGGGTACATAATATAATATTCTAGTGTGATGTAAACGCTTCGACACGGAATCCGCGGGTAAATTCGCTGAATTTGCCGGCGCCGCAGCATTTCCGAGGAAAGTCCTAACCGCGGACTAAACCAGCATTGTGGCGCGTCGGTACGGAACTAATGAACTCACGACGAGGCTTTCACGGACAGAGTTATTACACCACTTCCCCCCTTGTCTCCTGCCTCGCGCAAGCTGTTCCCTTGTCGCTGCCCTCTTTCGCTGTCTTCTTCCCTCATTCTCCTCATTCTTCGTTTCTCTCCCTGGACATTATATTATAGCAATCATTATATCTCCATTTAATAAGCCCATACCTAGTTTTACAATTCTGCCTGTCTCTCCCAGCACATTGCTACACGCTGAATACACACTGCAGAGATGTAGAGACGCGCTAATTTAGATTTTATCTCTTTGCGTTGACATACATTTGACGTACATGTACTTCAAGCTTAGATTATTATGCAATTATGTTAAAAATAACGAAGCACTGATTACAATATATCCTAGCTCGGTTTCCCCCATTTGATTTTATGAAAGGTTTAATGCAACATGAGGACAAATTTAATAACAGTACAGGCATAAGTAACATAGGCATTCCTTTCCCGAAGTCATTAGTTGGCACATGTCCAGCCGTCATTATCGATCATTACGTAAAGGATCCTCAAGCAAAAGAAAGAAAAAAAAATCATCTCGGACAGACGTCTACTTGCAGAAAATCTGAGAACAAAGCGACGGGCTGAGTAACGACGCGCGTGTTTCGCGGTAAATTACTGCGTGCGTGGAAACGATGGTGGCGGAGGTCAAGGATACGGCGCGGGATTACGGAGGGCACACGAGAGGAGTGCCTCGATTTAACGTCCCATTCGCTCGCTACGCTCTGGCCCGATACCGACTTCGAACGGCGCCATGTTCTGCGGCGGCCATACGGCCGTTTCGCGTCGTCGAGCAAGGTCGCCCCTAAATTTCTGTTAATCCCGTGGAATACGGCCCGAGGTAAAGGGCCAACGCAAGAACTTCAATTCCGTTCCTTTCGATTCCACTTGTTAGTCTAGATGCCAAAAAGTCCCAAGTGTTATTTCGACCAGCTGTTTGTAACACGAATTCGTGTCTTGTCTTGAATGATATCTTATCCGAATGAAAAAAAAGATACATTGAAGATGGGAATGTTCGAGAGTTACTGGGAAGCAAAAATAAAAAAATGAATTTAATCTTATATCTGCGATGCACATACATCTGTATACACATAAGTTAACGAACAAAAAAAAAATAAAGAATAAAAACACGTATTATGTGCTCAATTTAAACTTTTTTTTCCACCCGGACGAGACAGAAAGCTTCTCAAATGTAGGATAAAATATCGCTGAGGCCAGCGTATTCTTGATAAAAATGGCAGAGGGCTGAGAAAGAGAAGGCAAGAAAAAGATTTATAACACGAAGGCAATTTCTCAGCTGCCTGTTTTTGCTCCTCACATCGCGATTAACGCTCGACTCGCGCCGTTATTCTCGCTGCAGTTTGTTCTCCGTTAATTAAGCGCGTTTCGATAACACCGTAAGCGGCAGGTAATCGATATACGGCGTCATCGACATGCTCGATTAACCAGGAATGAGATAGAAGTGAGCACCGGGCGCGACGTGTGTTTCGATCAAAACGCTATACTGCCGTAAACGCATCGATTTGCCTAAGGCCCATGTCACACTACGTATTGCATAAATCGCGGATCGGATTGGGATTACAGATCGCGGAGCTTTAAAAGCGTGCTGTGTATCGAATTATCTCGAAGTTAAGTTTTATGTGATAGAATTTTATTTTGTAATTTTTAATTTACGTCGTTCTTCAAGATATATATTCGCAAAGTCGTTCAAAGTTGACCAACTTAGAGGAATTCCAGGATAGAGGTGAGATCTCCTTGGGATTCGCCAGAGAGTTCGCCTTCGGTCCCTTTAAACGCGACCTGGGTCTCAATGTGTGTATGCGGTCACCGCTCGAACGCCGAGAAGACGTTTCCTCCCTCGGGAGCGGTGAGCTCCAAGGGGGCCGCGCGCTGTACATACATATCTAGATGTTTCGACTGTGTTTCACTACTGTGCGACTCACCCACCGACGGATGCGCTTCGTCAAGTTCGAAGCACCGGAAAGCGAGAGGATCCTCTCCGTCTCTTTCGTTGCTCGTTGCGTTCGTGTAAATCTTCGGACTCGCGGCCGCGCTGGAACTCTCTCGAGAGTCCTTTCAGGCTTTATCGCTTCGCCCTCCGAAGCTCTCGATCGCTGCCGCTTGTGTGCCCGGGTACAGCTCTCGAGCCGGTCGTCAAAGTTCTTTCAGCGTGATCGAGGAGTTTGCAATTTCCCTCGAAGTTGTGGCGTATTAATTGGTCAAGTATTATTTTTTATTCCCGGAATGTTATATATGTGTGTGTATGTATGTACGTGTGTACATATATATGTTGATTTTAGTATTTTGACGTTTGAAATATGAGACATTGGTTATTATGTTACAATAAATATTCCTTTATAGATCAGGATGAAAGTTGCATCAGAGAAAAATGCAACGAATGTGACATAGCTACATACAAGCTCACGTAATTCGTTTCCAACATCGAGCTCGTCATGAAAATTAGATCCTCACCAGAACAAACACGTTTGAGCCTCGCCTCGCTATTGAATGAGAGAATTATGGCATGGCCCCGCATCGTTGTCGAAGTGTCTTTTTCACTACCGTTTGCCCGCCGCTGCACCCGCCGCAGCTGCGGCTGACGCGTTATGCGTCATGCGGTCGCTACCGCGACCGAACTTATTGCACGCGGATTGTGCGCGGGTTGTAAAACGCGTCACCGCTGCGTGAAATCGAGCGGGTGAAGCCCTCTCTCGGTATTTAACCCGAAAAAGTTGTCGCGAACTCGAGCGTCGGACAATGAAATTATTATGCGCCCTTTTAACTGCACTTCGACGATGCACTCGTTATACCAATGCGAATGCAACCGACGCGCGTGTGTCATGTGGCCGCGGTTAGGACGCGTGCGATTCAACTTTGCGTGTTGTTTGACCAATGTATCGTTTAAGCACATCGTTTACGTCCGAGTATCTCGTTGTACATTTTAATTAATTATTATTACACGATTGTAAATCAAGGACCGTGTACTAATCTGGGGCGTACTTGGTTGTTACGACTACATCAAATACAAATATCAGTAAATTAAGAATGTAATTATTATGAACACAAAGTGGGGAGAATATTGGAAGCATCCTCTAATTCTTTTTTAATTCGGAACATTTTTAGATTACATCATATTATATTTGTATTTTTTACTTTTGCTAGTAAAAAATTGTACATATTATTTGAAAGTCGAACTTGCTAAATTAAGAAATTTCGCCCTTAATCCACTGAAATTGCATTAGCATATTTGTTATTTTTATAAGAGAAACGCTAATTCCGCAAATGGAGAACTAATTCTATGAAGTACCGCGTCCCTAAGGCTTCTTTCAACGCGTTTTCAGTCCCGTGATCTCAAGAAATCCTTCCTTGCGCGGTTTCCAGTCATCTATCCTCTTAGGAGCTAAGTATAACGCCGTGAAATTTCCATTGAAATTACTTACTCGACTTCCCGAGGAGAACAACGGCTGGCTTCGGCAGAAATGAATTTTTCTTATATATCACCGCGCGCGCTTCTCCGCTTTAGAACCGCCTTACATTATTAATGTCCCCCTTCCTAATCAAAAATGCATTATATTTTCAATATCATTATTCCTTCGTACTTTACTAGTTCCGTCTCATGAACGTCTTTTTTAAACAGCAGTCTGGCTCGGGGAAATGATAAAGCTAAAAATTTCTTCTCAACTATCGCGTGAGAATAAATATATATTGTTTTTGATAATTTATTAATGCATTGCTTACACCTTAAGAAAATGCAGTTAATTATAATAGAAGTAAGATATGAGAAATATATTTAATTTTTTTTACCGCAATACATAAAAAAAGAAATTCTATAATATCAATAGCAATATCCTTTTTCGCTTAGTACAAGTCAACTAAATTTTTCCATGGATTCTTTTTAATTTTTAAAGTCAATATATACATATTTTTGCACTGTATTGTGATCGATGCTAATATTTTCC